TATTTCTGTTGGGATATAAATATCCCTTTCTTGGAGTGGGCAATTTCAATTCCTAAAAAATATTTTAGTTTTCCCAAGGTATTGATCTCAAATTCTTTGCCTAAGCATTGACTCAACAATTGCTGCTCTTCTTTATTATCTCTAGTTAATATTATGTTGTTACTCCCCCTGACTTGGAATGTTCAAAGAACAAAGTATGATCCCCTTGGCTTTGTTTGTAACCCAGACCTGTCATAACTTTAGTAAACCTGCCAAATCATGCACGGGGGGGACTGTTTTAGCCCATATAATGTCTTTTTCAAATTGCAAACAGTGCTGGCAACATCTCTACCATATCCCGGAGGTATCACCATATAAATTTCTTCTTCAAGGTCTTCATGTAGGAAAACATTCTTAACATCAAATTGTTCCAAGTTCCAACCATAATTGGCAGCAAGAGACAATATCACCCTAACTTTGTTCATTTTGGCAACGGGAGCAAAGGTCTCCAAATAATCAACTCCATAGGTTTGGGTGAACCCTTTGACAACTAGTCTTGCCTTATATCTCTCAATTGATCCATCAACCTTCTATTTCACTGTATAGACCCACTTACATCCAACTGGCCTCTTTCCTATTAGTAAGGTGACTAACTCCCAAGTGTTGTTCTTCTCCAATGCCTCCATCTCTACATCCATGGCTTGTCTCCATTTTCTGTCAGACAATGCCTCAGATAGGGTATTAGGTAGAAGTACAGTGTTTAGGTTTACTAGGAAGGTTTTATGGGTAGGAGAGAAATTTTTAAAGGATAGGTAATTTGAGAGAGGGTAGAGTGGTTGTTTGGTGCATTTTCTTGTCCCTTTTCTAATGGCAATTGGGAGGTCAGGATCATTTTGGGTTTCAATTTCAACTTGCACAGCTAGAGAAAAAATTGTTAACTCTTTTTGTGGAGTCGAGTTGGATTCTTGAACATGGCTTGATCTTGGAATGGCCTTAGTCTTCCTTGAGTACACCCAGCTTCTTACCAAATTTTCCAGCTTCAACATCTTCTTGATCAGCTTCACAATTAATTTCACTTTCTTGACCAACTTCCTTTTCTTGACCAATTCCTTGACTTGTTTCATTTGTTACAGCTTCAATTTGATCTCGTTTAGGTTCAAATATCAAGTTTGGAAGAATGAGAAAACCAGAATTACTACTTTCCTTATCTTCCCTGAAACTCTCTCCCTGAAGATAAGGTTGATGGAAATAGCCCTCTTGTTCATTGAAGGTAACATCCCTAAACACAAAGAATTGTCGTTTTTCTATCCAAACCTGTCTACTACAAATAATCTTAAACCAAGAGTTTTTTTCCAGCATTAACATCTCCTTGATCAGCTTCACAATTAATTTCACTTTCTTGACTAACTTCCTTTTCTTGACCAATTCATTGACTTGTTTCATTTGTTACAACTTCAATTTGATCTCGTTTAGGTTCAAATATCAAGTTTGGAAGAATGGGAAAACCAGAATTACTACTTTCCTTATCTTCCTTATCTTCTCTGAAACTCTCCCCCTGAAGATAAGGTTGATGGAAATAGCCCTCTTGTTCATTGAAGGTAACATCCCTAGACACAAAGAATGATGGAAATAGCCCTCTTGTTCATTGAAGGTAACATCCCTAGACACAAAGAATTTTTTGGATGAGGGATGGTAGCTTTGATACCCTTTCTGAGTGGGTGAGTAACTAACAAAGACACACTCTAAGGCTCTAGGATCAAGTTTCCCCCTGTCTGTACTATGAATATGGACATATGAGATGCACCCAAAAACTCTTGGTTTAAGATTATTTGTAATAGACAAGTTTGGATAGAAAGACGATAAAGCTTCCATAGGGCTTTTTGATCTTAAGACTCTAGAGGGTAGTCTATTGATAAGGTATGTTGCTGTAAGGACGACTTCCCCCCAGAAATTTTTTGGGACACTGTTTTGGAACAACAATGCCCGATTCTGATTTAATAGATGTCCATTTTTCCTCTCTGCGGCCCCATTCTACTGTGGTGTTTTGACACAAGAGGACTCATGAATTATACATTTTTTTTGACAAAAAGAATTAAGGACATGATTGAAGTAATCTTTGGCATTATCTGACCTAAGTCTCTTAATATTAACACCAAACTGATTTTTTATCAAGGAGTGGAAGTTTAGGAAGACAGAATTGACTTCTGATTTTTGTTCAAGTAGGAAAACCCAAGTGACCCTTGTACAATCATCTATAAAGGTGACAAACCATCGAGTACTAGACACAATTGGAACATTAGAAGGTCCCCATACATAAGTATGAACAAGATAAAAAGGGAAATTGCTAATTCTATTACTTATTGGAAAAGATATACGCTTGTGCTTAGCAAGTTCACACACCTCACAATAAAGACTCTCAACATCTAACTTGGTAAATAGAGAGGGAAACATAATTTTGATCACTCCAAAAGAGGGATGTCCCAAGCGACAATGATAAAGCATGATTTTTTCTCTGTTGGTCATCAAAGATTTAGATATGAAGGAGTGGAGATTCTGTTCTTGCTGGGCAGATTTGGATCTTTGAGATAATAAAGGCCATTCCATTCTCTAGCATGTTCAATCATCCTCCCTAAATCCTTGTCCTGAAATACACAATAATCGTTGAAAAAAACAACTTTACATGACAAATCTTTTATAAATTTTTGTATAGACACTAGGTTAGACAACTTTGGGACATGGAGAACATCTTTTAAGGTTATTAAAGGATTGATTTGGATAGTTCCTTGACCAGCTACATTTATAAGGGTTCCATCTGCTGTGACAATTTTCTTGTTGCTGGGACATGGGGAATATGTGGAGAAGTGTTTGGCTAATGGTGTCATGTGGTCTGTGGCTCCAGAGTCCAATATCCAATAATAGTTAAAAGGTGTATCTGACACATTTAATCCAAAAGAAAATGGAAACTTACCTGAGTATGCCAAAGAACACACACCTGTAGGTTTTTTCAACTTACTAAGAACAATTTTCACCCTTTCTATCTCCTCTTGATTAAGATGGGCAGCAACTTCTGGATTATTTCCTTCATTTGTTTCAGCAGCAACATAAACTTGTTCTCCTTTTCTTAAGGAGCCAACTCTGTGTCCCCCTTCTCGATCTCGATTTAAAGGCTTCCCATGTAACTTCCAGCACTTCTCTCAAGTATGACGAGGCTTATTGCAGTAGGTACACCAGAAACCATAACCTTTATTCTCTACATTTGCTGATCCTCCTTTCTTCTGTTCAGCTACCCCCTTTCTATTCAACACTGTACGAACAAGTTGGGCCCACTTCAAATAATTTCTTTCATTTAGTCTATACGCAGAATGGATATTCTGCAGTTCTCCAGATTGCTGGGATTGGATATTCCCTGTTTTTGGGGTTGGATCACAAATTCCTCTTCCCTTGACATTATAGCAAAAAGGTGCGATGCAACAGCAATGCAGATTGCCGTCTGGTTAAGAAAAATGCAGTAGCAATGCAGGCTGCCGTCGGGTTAAGAAAAATGCAGCAGCAATACAGGCTGCCGTCTTATGGTTTATAGTGTGCAGACAGAACTTTCTAGATCGGAAACTCTAATACCATCTGAAAATTTAGATTAAATAAAATCTTATTTGATTATTTTAATACAAAAAGATCAAACAAGATATATACACGAGACCTAAACTATTTTAGGAAATATAATAACTCTATTTTATTCTAGGATCCCTTGATTTATGGGATTGTTCCTAATTGTTCAAATCTCTACAAATTACAAATTTCCTAATTTATTCTTTCCTAAAATACTATTTGATTTCCCACAAATTCAAAACTAAAAAACTGAAGCATTAAAAAGAAAAAAACAGAACAGGCCACATAATGCAAGCCAAAAGCAAATAGTTAACAGTTTTGATTATAGGTGTTTCTGACTGATGAAAATTTTTATGGGTGGTTTTATTTCTAATTTATTTTTAGATTAATGAGTGCATTTTTATTAATTTTCAGCTATGTTTGTCTTGCATTTAAAGGTTGTAAATATGAAAAACTGTGTGAACAATTTCCAGACGTAGCATATTCAGAGTTCCTACAATTGGTAATCAAAGCTTTATTTGTTCTGGAGGGACTTGGTAAGGTTGAGAGTTCTAACAAACGCTTACATTGAGAGTTTAAAATGTAATCTGATAACTCAGTCCTAATACTACCAATGAGAGTGAGAATTATCAACTATGATAGTTAGAATGAAGATTTTTCTTGATGCAAGTGTCCTTGGGAGGCTATTGAAGAGGATTATTAGGTTGGTCCATTACTCAAAAATCTAATGCTTAATCAAATCCAGAATAAGAAGGAAAGAAAACAACCAAAATGAAAGGCAAAGTCTTGCCTATTTTTTGTTGTTTCTTCTGTAATCTTTACAAGTATTGTGACTCTAAAGTTGGTAAAGGGCATATGAGATTTTCTCTAACAAGATTATGACATTTTCATCCATTTATATACTCTAATTCGATCATATCTCTATGAGATTTCCAACAATTTAATTGCAAGTAACTTGGATGAAAATCAATTGCTTATTGAAAAGAAAGTCTGGTGATAATCATCCTTTCTATATATGATGACTATTACGATTTCAAGCATTGTGGTGTTTGGTACTTGTTGGCTTTAGCGATGATAGTTTGGCTTGGAATTTTGCAATCATAAGGCATATTGTGTTGGTTGAAACTATTTCTAATATATATTAGTTTTTTCAATGTAACAAGCACCACTCATTTCGAACCTGAATTGTAACTCATGTCATGGAATTGATAAAAGCAGGACTATCTTGTGGATTTGTTCCTTGTTTTCTTTTATTTGGTGTTTTGCTTCAGTGATGTTTTAGAACTTATAGAGTTTGAAGATTATTTTTATCATGATATAGATTTGAATATCTTGCTTATTTTTGGTGTCAACACAAGCTGTGTATAGGAATTCTTAGTGTTTAGACAGATTGAGAGGCTTTTTAGTTTCTTTCCATGGATGATGTGTTTTGGTATTCTTTTATAATGTTGAGCACTTTTGTCATACCCTATCTACTCTCTTTGTGGGTATAATTTGATAGAATAAGGGAACAAATTGCTATCTTGGAACAAGCTGTTGATGTCTACACCATGGAGTTGGAAAGGTTTTTGACATTTATCAGGTGCAGTAATGCTCATCTTGATATTTCTCATGATTTCACTTTTGGATATTTATAGTTAATAATCAAGTTAAATTGTTGTCTACTTGAAACCAGAATCCTTTATTAATCAATATTGGTTTTCTTTCAGAATTCATGGAAATTCTCTACAGTTTTCACTGTTTATGCATTAATATTTTGAGATAGTAGCTTTTCAAATACAGCTGGTTAGATGTTCCAAAAATGTTTATTTTGAAATTTCACACACGGGTTTGTACTGGTAAAAGCTAAACTCATTCTTATACCATTCAATAACTTTTTAATAACCCTATGTTGGATTAGAAGTTTCTACCATACAGATCCTATTTACAAAATCTTAGATTAATCCAGCATCATTTAATACGTTATCATAGCAAGGATGTAAGTTGGGAAAAATAGATAGCTGCAACATCAATGATTCAGATCCATAAATTTTTAAATAAATTGCCTAAAGATCCATAATTTCTTATCCATGTGTTCAAATGTTTCATTTCTCTATGTTTGCTTTGCAACTGCCTCCTCCTAACAAGCTAAGCTTATAGGTTGAACTGGTTAAGAGTTTTCAATATGAAATCTGTTTTTGTTCTCACTCTGCTAGATTTCTAGTTCTTGTTGACTAACCCGCTAATCCTTTTTGCAGTGGTGTATTTGAAAATGCACCTTTCTTCATTTCAGCAGAGGTTGCTGGTGCATTGGAAGCAAGGTAACTATCAAATCTTGCATTATTGTATTATGTTCTCTATTTTCATGTTAATTTTCTAGTTTATTCATTTCAGGAAAACTGATGACTACAAAGAGATCAATATTCCAGCTGGGAAAACTTATGAGGTATATGTATGTACAAGGCTTGTGAAATTGATTAACTTGTCTTTCTTTTTTATTATTATGACATGTATATATTGGCAAGGTATGGGTATAAACATGTTTGTCAATCCTCGATGGTGGCAAAAAAAGACTACTGATGGTGGTAGGGAGTGGGATGTCGCAATTTTGAATTTATGCATACAAAAGTAATATATATTGCACATACAACGGCAAAAAAAATTCAAAATCGTAGGTGTTTTTGTTGGAAGTCCCACATCGCCTACCTAATATCATTTGGTATGGTTTAAATACATGTTAGGCTACTCCACATATTGTCAATTGGTTTTATGTTAGAACCTTAATAGTTTTCATCGTTAATAGTAAAAAGCCATAATGATAGTCTAGATACACATTAGGAGTAAGACTAAATGAAAAATTCAATAACACTGCGATGTTACAAAAAATTGAAGATTTTTAACAAAGGGGGTTTTGAAGCAGAACAGAGGAGATCACAAGCCCTCAGAAACAGATTAGAGGTGGTACAGCCATTAAATATAAACTGAACACATACACCTCTAAAAACACTCCAAAATTGGAGGTGTTTACATCACTAATAGTGAAAAACCATATTGACATAGTTGAGATGCACATTAACCATAATACTAAATGGTTTAATTATGTTGTAAACCACAAAGTATACAAAAAATGAAAAAATTTAACATTGAAGGACTTGAAGCATCACGAGATCACAAGCCTGCAGAAACTCTGAGGTGGTATAAGAGGCAAACCACAATACATGGTTATAGATGGGATAAGAGGCACAACACCTTTCACAAATAGAGGGGAAATGGGGAGGGGGGCTGCTTGGGATCAAGTCAAAGAGCTAGGTTTCCTCTTCGATTTTTCATTTAAATTAGACTCAGCCTTTAAAGTTTTCTGGCTACATGTCCAGGCCAGGCATTTATTGGCCTATTTAAAAGTTAGCAAATGGTAGTGTGAGGCTGAAGCTTTCACTGGAAGCATTCTGGTAAGTTACATTTTTCTGGTTTACTGGGAGATCTTATACTTCTAAACGATTATTTCCTCTAGAAAAACTGTGCCAAACATGCACATAGGTGTTTTGTTCATAACATTCTCATATTGGTATATACTAGTAGAGCGACTGGCATGATTGGGAAATAATTGTTGCCTTTTTAATTAATTTATAAATTGTTTCCTTGCACAGCGCATACACATTTTTGTCTTTTGTGCATGATTTAGTGTTACTGTTATCTTGTTTGAAATTTCCTACTGAATGAATCTATGACTTCGTTTTATTCGTTATTATTACTTTTGAAAATGTTTGCATTTTGATGTTTTATAATGTTTTTATTTTCTACTTCAGGTTTTACTCTCTGTTGATGCGGTAAACTCATACATTGCGTGGGACTTTTCATTGGTACAAGGCAAGATGAATATGGTATCGCTGTTGTGCTGCTACACCTTGATTTCAAAATTTTATGATAATTTCCACAGGCGTCCCTCTATAAAGATCTTTCTTTTTATTATTTTTCAGGATATTGGATTTAGTTTGGAGTTTGTAAGTCCTACCGGGGAAAAAACTGTAAGTTTGGATGACATTTCTCTTTTATTATCTGTATCATATTCTCTATAGGTTTCTTCAGAGTATTTTCCTTATTACTCTTCATCATCAGCCGTTTTCGCTTTCTATTTCTTAGGCCTTTTTCCTTTTTATTGTTCTTTTTTTCTCTTACCTGATGTCTGTATTTCCATTTCTCATTTTTATGATGGCTGATTCATGATCACACATGACACAGCTGATGTTACCATACCGCCGATACGAGTCTGACCAAGTGAGTTTGTCACGTTTGTTGCAGATTATATACCCTTAACATTTGATATGTATGTACTTATCTTAGTTTTTATGCCTCTATAATGTTAGGGAAACTTCTGTACGTTAATGACAGGAAGCTATAAACTGATTTGGGACAACACGTATTCAACCTTTTTCAGAAAGGTAATGTACAGGGGCATGTTGACTGATTCAATGAGATGCAAACTGTATTATTAGTATACTTGGAATGGTTGCTCAATACAAATGCTTGTTGGGCTCACATAGTGATCAAATGGCATAGCAAATCTGATTCGATACTACCTTCTCCAGAGCATGTTCCTGGAAGGATTGACTCTTCGCCCTCAATCATCGCTATCACATGATCTTATCTACTCATTGTTATTGTGAACTGATTTATTTTGTCTTGTTGCACGTATTGGCTTCATGCATCTTTTTATTTTTATTTGAGATTCCTTCACTTATTTTTTTCCCACATATTGGGAATGTGCTGAAAATGGTACAATTTTCTGATGTGCATTGTGATGTATGGAGTGTAGGTTATACGGTACAAGCTAGATTGTATACCTCCTGTGACAGAGCTAGTGCAGTCCGACTGAAGCAAGAATGCCAGAGAAGTTATTCTGAGAAAAGGAAGAGGAAAGAAACTGAAAAAATTAATCATCTGTATAAAATTGTTATACATTAATGCCTGTAGCAAACTGTAATTGTACTATAATGGGCACAAATTCACTGAAGTAATGTGTATTTTATATTTCTGCTAGTAACATAATCACAGTGAAAACCCTAAGAGGTTATCGGTTAGAATCAACTGTTTGTGATTTAAAGTTCGAACTGTAAATTAGAAATTCGACACCCTATTCGGCGAGTTTATTTTGCATTAAGCCCATCGTATTGTAACCCCAATTGCTACAAAAAAAAAGCGCCAAAGATAATTCATTATAAAGATAGGTTATGGCCGCAATCAGAGCACCACCTTTCAAAAATAAAGCTGGAAAAAGACGATTGAAAGGACGTTTAAATCGGTTAAAATGGAATTAACAATGTAGATAGTGTATATTTCAATACGTAACTTATTGGCAGAGAGAAATCCTATGGTCCAAACAATTAAACAGTAAAAGGCCACCTATCTTGCAGTAATACGAATCAAAGAAAATCACTGCAGAATCTAGACTATCATCCACCTAATATGCATTATTACAAAATGGTCTTGATCAAAGTATAGTACTTTGGAAACGGGCAGGTCAATTAAAATTCAGCATTCTTTTTGCAGAAACTAGAGTATTACATAGGAGCATAGCAACGGTCATAGGACCAACCCCGCCAGGCACAGGAGTAATAACGGATGCCACTTTCAAGGCTTCTTCGTAGCATACGTCGCCTACGAGACGATAACCATCCTCGCACACAGGATCCTGCAACATTTTATGTATATTTAGAAAAGGCAAAATCTGAAATGTTTGGCTTCAAGTCGTGATTAGCAACTTACCTCAACAGGAGTAGTACCAACATCGATCACAGTTGCACCAGGTTTTATCCAGTTACCACGGACCAAATTAGGCACTCCAGCCGCTGAAACTATAATATCAGCTTCTTTGGTGATTTTTTCAGGGTTTTCTGTGAAGGCATGTATGACAGTGACTGTTGCATGGTGCCTCTGCCAACATATAAATAGTATTATTACATATTCATGCAGAATGAAACGAAAAAAATAGATAAACAATGATTTCAGGCTTCTAACAGAAATGCACATTTTACCTGCAATAACAAGGACGTTGGCAAACCAACTATATTACTTCTTCCAATCACTACGGCTTTCTTCCCCATTATCTCGACTCCTGATCTGATCAATAACTCAATGCAGCCCTTTGGAGTACAAGGAGTAAAAAGTGGCTCCCTTCCACTTATGGCAAGATTCCCCATATTAACGGGGTGAAAACCATCCACGTCTTTCTCGAGACATAAAGCATCCAAAACCTTTTCCTCATCTAGATGCTGTTCCCACACGTTTTACAAAAAGTCAAACACATTAAATCAGCTTATTAGAATGTGTGCTAATCCACAATTGAATGTACTGCTGGCATGAAAACTAGTTATTTGAAAAGAAAATAACGATGAAAGAGTATATTTCACCTACAAACTACTCCAAACAACCAAAGTTAGATTACCAAATTTCATTTTACCAATAACATCAAATTTATTTACACCAATTAATTAAGCAATTGATAAAATTATAGCATCAAATTGTTTCCAAATATGCACAACATGAGGATGTCATGGTTTTGGTGATACGCTTGTGATTTTCTGTTTAGAAGGGGCCTTACCTAGATATGTATAGATTTTTGGGCATGTTCCAGTGAATCGCAACTGCGTGGGGTGTATTGTGAGCGGAAAATGATATATACAGGCAATGGATAACCACTTCAAAACAGAGAGTGCCATCTAAAGTATGATAACTGATCATCGAAAAGAAGAACAAAATTAATTACTCACCGTAATGAACTGGGCAGCAGTTCAAAGAAGTCAATGTTAAGGGACAACACAATGAAACTTGTATAATGCCCACGGAAATGGAATGGATTTCACTTCAATCCTCAAATACGCTATATTAAGATTTAATAAGACACTGATAATTTAAGGTTGAACAAGTCATAAACCATTATCTCCAGAAAAGAATGGAAGTTTCCTCATAGAGAAGGAATTTTAGAGTGATCACAACCTCTCCTTTGCACATTGGATTCTTCCTATTTATATCACATGTTCAGCATACTTTCTGTTAAGCTCTCTCTCTCTCTCTCTCTCTCTCTCTCTCTCTCTCTCTCTCTCTTCTTTTTTCATGAATTGTAGAATCCACTACTATTAGAGTTGTATTGAACGGATACAGTTCTCAACTACATCTGCTTGGTAGTTTATTATTCTTATTAGTTGTACAGTTACTGGTAAGTGTCAGTATCAGTTTGTAACTACTATTCACTGTCTAAATTCATTCAGAAAATTAAAGATTCAGTTTCTTTCTCTCTTTTCTCACTTTCTCTTTGAATAGTTTCCAAAGGTTTTATAACATGGTATGAGCTCAGTAAGATCCATGTATGGCTATGATCAATTTGTTTCTCAGCTCTTCTGCTCCCCAAACATTTCCTCATTCTATCTCAAAAAAACTCAATGATTCCAATTTCTTATTATGGAAGCAAAAAGTAGAACCATTTATCAAATCTCACCTACATCATTTTGCAGTGAATCCTTTGATTCTGTCGCAATTTTTCACTGAAGATCATGCAACAGGAACTGTAAATCCTGCATATTCTGCCTGGGAAAAAGATCAATTGTTTCTAACCTGGCTTCAGTTGCTGTTTTCTTCATCAATTCTTTCTCGTCTCTTAGGCGGACCAAACCTCTACCTCAACAAAATTCTTGTCGACCGACTGCTATGATAGTTTAATAAAAACGCTCAGCCTTGCCCGGTGTCTATGTGGATTCTAGATTTAGGTGCGTCTTTTCATGTCATAGAACATTCACAGAACATACAAGAAATAGGACATTTTGTGGGACCTGACCAAATCTTCATTGGTAATGGTCAAGGTTTGCATGTGCCTCTCTATTAGATCATCCAGTTTTTTGTCTTATTACAACTCTAAATTGTTTGTGTCTCTTCATCACCTCTTACATGTGCCTACCATAACTAAATCTTATTAGTGTCAACAAATTTGTTAAAGATAATATTATTCTTTTCAACTTTCATCCTAATCATTGTGTTTTGTTCTAAAACATTCACGCACTATTTCCCATTAAGAGAGATAATACAAAGATTGGTGAAAAATTGATGAGCAAGTGCCTTCAATTGCGTATGGAAATATTTGTGAATTTTGTTCCATAATTGATATGAGTACTTGAGAGAAATGTTTTAAAGTGCCCAAACCCTTACCCTAAACCTAGGAACATACATCAAAAAATTAAAAATAAAACATTTTTAACACTTCTCCTTAAACTGGAGTATATAGATTAGATTGTATGCACCAAACTTAGAACATATAAACTTAATCCTAGGTTCTCTTAGAGATTTAGTCAGAATGCCTGAGTTGTTCATTAGAGCTCACAATGAAATAATGAGTTCCTTGGACAACAACTTCTCTCTGACAAAATGATAGTCGATCTCAATATGTTTTGTTCATGAAACACTAAATTGGAGGCAATATGAAAAGTTGTTTGATTATCACAATGCAACTTCATCTGTTCATTATCATAAAATTTCAATTCTTGAAAGAGTTGTTTAATCCACACAAGCTCACATGTAGCCAAAGTCATAAATCTATATTCAGTTTCTATACTAGATCAGACAACCACACTTTGTTTCTTACTTTTCTAAGAAATCATATTCCTTCTAATGAATACACAATTTCCAGTAGTAGATCTTTTATCAATGGGACAATTAGCCCAATAAGAGCATTGAGGACGTCCACTTCTACCACTATCTCCTTTTTCATTATTGCATCCTCCCCCTCATCCACGAAGTACAACCATTGTGGAGCTTTCACTAACTTCAACCTGATTCTCATTCTTCATCAAGTTGGGTATGTAAATAAGTTTAGTGACTAAATTGTCCATTGAAGGAACTAATCATCAACCAAGATTTGATAATGCACATTATCATAATCAAAATGTGAACTTCTCAAAATCAAGACCATGTATAGCTTGTTAGGTTTCTTAGTTCTTCCAAGGTGCTTGCCATTAGAAACTTCTTCACTTCTTCCATGCAGCTCCAGCCTTTGCAACATGAGATAGCACATCATGCTTGATCTGTTTGAGAGAAGTTACTCTTTGAGTTGCATCAAAGAGACGTTAAATATCATTTGTACAGATATCTTGTGCTTTTTTCCAAAAAAACAAGAGCACGTCTTGAAGGACTTGAGAATTTATAGAACCTTTGGTTCAACTTATTGCCATAAAATTGCAGAGTTGAAAGTCAATATTTTGCCACTATGGTCTTTCTAAATAAAAAATGAAACTAGCTTTAGTCTCCAAGTGGTCATGATACCCTTGACCTAGGAACCACAACTCCATAAAGACAGACCAAGATAAATATTTTTTCTAATTGAGCTTAGCACTATTAATATGAATGGCTAAAAGAGATAGCTGTAGACATTTAAAACAAAGAATACAAGGGAGGAAAACCCTAAACAGAAGAGGGAAGCACGAGACCTAACCCTCAAAAACTTCAAAACGAAAAAAATAAATAAAGGCAACAATGGAGGCAGAACCTATCGACAAGACGAACGACATTGACACAACTTGATTCCAACAATTGGAAGGCAATACATGAGACTATGTGCCTGAGATAGATCGTGCTTTGGGCAGCAAATGTGGTAGTAGATGGCATCGTGGTTGATGGGGTTGAGCTCCTATAGGCACACCTATCCTTGGCTTCGCCGTTCAAAACGGTGGTGGACAACAACCCCAAATTGTCGAAGAAGACCATTGACAAATAAAATCAGTATAGGATCCTACCCACTCTAAAATACCAACTTGAGAAAAATGTTTTAGACTAAAAAGACAATGTCCAATGACATTGGTACTGTTATATTTATATATGAGAGAATACAAAAGATGTTGGGCCTCAACCTAAACCATAACCCTAAACCTTCTAGCATACATTAGAAAATTAAAATTTTTAACGTGAATCGAGCTTATGACTTGAGAGAGAACAGATTTTGACAATGTCAATTAGAGCCAAGTAAGAAATATTTGATCCTGAACTTCCCAAGCTTAGTACGTGCAATGTCACAATCTTGATCAATGAGGTATTGAGGAATTGATGGGTAAATGACAAACATTTGAAGCTTGTGCAAGTCTATCATCAGTTTGATTTGTTGTCACCGAAGGAGATAATTTGAGTCATTGACTTTCTTGGCAACAGAGGTGGGAAAAGAGTGAAGCTTGGAAGGGATGGGATTTGAGAGTGCCATAGGAGGAGAAATAAAAATCAAGGAAGGTCAAGATTGACCACTAGAACTCATGGCTCTTGATACTTAGGGAAAATTAAGAGATAAAAATGTAAATGAGATTTTGTATTTTATTGATTCAATTAAGAAAGAGAAACAATGGGAGCATATATAGAAGCTTCTGTTAGGGTACAACTATGCAAAGGCTGATAATAAATTGACAGCTATTAGAGCTGGTTTAGAGCTGACACAACAAACCAGAGGAGATTCTAGAATAGAATGTAACAGAAAAAAAATAAAAGGGAAAGAAATGTGTTTCCTATTACACATATTATTAAACTTTAATAGCCTCCCTTCCAATATTGTAATTTTAGGTCACTCTTCAAGAAATACTTTAGTGGTTGACCATTTAGAAAATAGATTCAAAACATTTGTAGTATTTAAAAGGGCCCACCGGATTCAAACTGACCTCTAGATGTAGTCAAATGCTCTACACTGAATAAAACTTATGTTTTAGGGTTTAAGACATGGCATACAAAAATAGTATCCTTTTCTTGAACAAATATTCAGCAAATACAACAATCCATCTAATTTATTGTAAGTCAAAGATTAAGAAATTACTTGTGGTAGAGGAAGTTGCACAAGGATACCATGAATGGATGGATCTTTGTTAAATCTCATGATGGCATTTTGAACATCCATTTCTGCACAATCATTGGGTAATTCAGTCACCAAAGACTTGATTCCAACTTCTTCACAGGCCATTATCTTGTTGCGAACATAAGTTTGAGAATCCCGTCTTTGGCCTACTAAAATTACAGCTAATCCAGGAACTTTTCCTAGGCATTTCTTCATTCTTCTTACCTTAGCAGCTATTCTTGATCTAATTTCCATGGATATCAACTTTCCATCAAGCACTACGGTAGTTTGGGCACCAACTGAGGCAAACATCAATCTCAATACAGTATCTTACAGAATGAAATGGAAAATGAAGAATCATAGTATAGGAAAATTGGAGTTGACCTATGAAAATCAAACAAAATAATGTGATTTGATTTGTTTAGTTGATGTTAGGATTTAATGCAATATGAATGATTTCAATTCCTTCTTTCCATTAGACATAGCATTTATAGGCAAGGTAGTCAAAATCGAGATCTTACTCAAATATATATATATATATACCAAATATTTAAACTTCAATTCGAAATGATAAGCAAAAAACAATATAATAAACATAAAAAGTAGTAATTAATAGATGTAAACAATAAATTCTTCATAGTAACAAAACATTAGTTACCAAATAAGAATTTTATCCTAGTTACAAAACAATAATCCATCTAAAGAAAATAATCTTACAACCTACATTCATGAGATCTTAAATTTCATCATTTCCAATCTCATCTCCTTCCCCATCCAAATCAATAATGTCTAAATCATCTTCCCTGTTCTCTTTGTGTGAACCTAAACAAACACAAAGAAAAATATGATAATCGAGTAGATTAGTAGTCATAATTTATCGTATAAAGATATTTTAATTAATACTAACTAATCAGATCAAAGGAACTCCAATTGCACTCACATCCAAATGAACTACATGTCACACTCAGTACATGAATTACAAATTCTTGGCATTTTGGATACTCCACCATAAGACTCCCACCAATCTGTTGGAGTCTTTAAATTAATTGACTTAGTGGCCAAGGAACAAGCAAAATATTTAGCTCAAATTTTGAAATCATCAATTTGAGCATCAATCATCCTCGTCCTTCAATATCCAGTAGACCTCATTTCACTTCCAAATCAGCCTTAAATCCAAGAGGATAATGCATTTGAGGGTTAAGGAAATAGCTTACAACTTGCAAAGGGATGTGAAGTTTCTTGTCCCACCTTTCATCAATGATGTTCCACAAAGGTAAAAAACTAGACAAAAATATTTCACATTTAGGTTTTTTATATTCAAAACCACTAACTTGATAAATAAATATATACATAGTACCTTTATTTTACAACATTATAGAATTTTCTATCTTCTCCTTAGCTTGATCCATTGTTTCATAAATGAATCCCATGGCTGGTTTTTAATCCAAATCAACCAATTGAAGCAATGCATCTTTGAACAAATTATGATATTCTTCCAAAAACTTTATCCAAAGCCACATCTTTAACTATTTTTCCATCTTTTGTTTTTGAAAACCTACTAGATTTGCATTCATTACTTGTAAACATTCTAATTAAAGCTCCCTTGTTCACATGAAGGCTACCTAATGTCAAGTAAGATGTGAGCGAGTAATGCCCGACCTCACCAAACCTCTTCCTTTTGTAAAATGTTGTAGAAGAGAAATTAGAGAAGTTCTCGAATAGATAAATGTTGTAATTCTTTTACCTTTGTTGTAATTCTTTTACCTTTTAGAATTGTCTTCTCATGAATTGGGATCTTCCAACATTAAGTCAACACAATGAGCTGCAGAAGGTGTCCAAAATAAATTTTTCCTTCTTGCCATTAACTTTTGACTAGTAGCTTCGTGGTTTGCTACATTATCTATGACAACTTGAACAATATTATCTTCCCCCACATCTTCAATAATGTTATTCATCATCTTAAAACCTTTTTCAACTGTTTTAGATATTATAGATGTATCTATAGACTTCAAAATCATGGTTCCTTTGGACTGTTCACTAGAAGGTTTATTAGTCTTTTCTTGTTAGTTCAACCATCAATCATAATTGTACATCCTCTTTTCTTCCATTTATTCCTATATGCTTGTAAAGCGAGTGATGTATTTTTTACTTTCTCTTTCAAATATTTGACTCTAAGCTCATGATATAATGGGGGCTGAAATCCAAGACCATTCCTTGAAACCAAATCAAACATAACACCAAATCCTTTACTCTTTGCCACATTGAAAGGTATAGCATTGTCAGAGAAGAACCTAACAATTTTCCAATATGCTTCCTCTTTCACAACTTTCTTAAACATGGTATTGATGGTGGCTTGTGTGCTAACTCCTCTCTTCTTAAAAATATTTCTATCAGTACCAATGTCAGTTGATTCATATTCATTGTTTTTTCTTTTATCACTAGTTTTGGCACTTTCGCCATCCTTATTAAGGATTGATTTCCTGGTCAAAGTTTGTTGTAAACTAATAACAATTTTCCACATCTCCTTCATTTCATTAGTAACAGTCTTGCAAGCTCCAACATCCTTTTGAGGACCAGCCAAGTGACACTTCAACCTATAAACTCCTTCAGTTGTTACCTTTTGACAATATTTACATTGAAGTTTCCTAGTATCCCCACCAACTAAAATACAATGCTTCCCATCTATATCACTCCTATTTCCTAGAGCATTTTTTGGGAGGTACAAGTATGAGGGTAGGATTTTAAGTCATTTTAATTATTCCAGTAAAAGAAAATAAATAAAAATGAGACAATAGTGTGGTATAGAAGGATTGTAGAAATAAAATAAGAAATGGAGTAAGTAAAATGGAGACTAGTGTGGTGGAGAAAGATTGCAAAAAGGGAATGAGAAATAGAAAGTCTGGAAAATTAGATTAAATGTGATCTAATTTTATTATATTCATACAAAGAGATCATACAGGATATATACAGAAGACCTAAGCTATTTTAGGAAATATAATAACTCTATTTTATTCTAGGATCCCTTGATTTATAGGATTGTTCCTAATTGTTCAAATCTGTACAGATTACAAGAAAATATACAAATTTCCTAATATATTATTTCCTAAAATACTATTTGATTTCCTACACTCCCCCTCAAGTTGGTGAATAGGTATTTTCCATTCCCAGCTTGGATACAATCTTCTCAAAATTGTGGCAGCTCAGTCCCTTGGTAAGAATGTCTGCAATTTGGTCTTGCGAGGACACATATGGAGTGTATATCAAGCCACTATCAAGCTTTTCTTTGATGAAGTGTTTGTCTACTTCAATATGCTTTGTTCTATCATGCTGCAATGGGTTGTAGGCTATGCTGATTGCTAACTTGTTATCACAATAGAGCTTCATAGGTTCTTCCCATTTTATGCCCAAGTCGTCTAAAATGATTTTAAACCATAGCAACTCATATATACCTTGTGCCATGACTCGAAATTCCACTTCAGCATTGGACCGAGCCACTATACCCTACTTTTTACTTCTCCAAGTCACAAGATTTCCTCCAAGAAAAGTGCAATATCCTGTAGTTGACCTCCTATCCACAATTGGCCCTGCATAATCAACATTAATATAGGTTTCAAGCTTTACATTACCATTCTTTTTTAATAGAATCCCTCTTCCTGGAGTTCCTTAAGGTACTGTAAACTTCCGTGGGCAGCTTGTAAATGGGTCTCCTTTGGGCTATGCATAAATTGACTAATTAAACTCACTGCATAGGCAATATATGGCCTGGTATGCGACAAATATATAAGTCTGCCCACTAATCGCTGGTACATATATTTTTCAACAACAACATCTTCTGTATTTCCAAGCTTTAGGTTTGGTTCTAATGGGGTGTTAGCAGGTTTGCAAGTTGCCTTGCCAGTTTTATTGAGCAAATCAGTGATGTATTTCTGCTGGGATATCAATATCCCTTTCTTGGAGTGGACAACTTCAATTCCTAAAAAATATTTTAGTTTTCCCAAGGTCATGATCTCAAATTCCTTGCCTAAGCATTGACTCAACAATTGCTGCTCTTCTTTATTATCTCCAGTTAATATTATGTCATCCTCATACACTGAAAACATTGTTACTCTACCTAACTTGGAATGTTCAAAGAACAAAGTATGATCCCCTTGGCTTTGTTTGTAACTCAAACATGTCATAACTTTAGTAAACCTGCTAAACCTTGGACCGAACCACTACACCCTGCTTTTTGCTTCTCCAAGTCACAAGATTTCCTCCAAGAAAGGTGCAATATCCTGTAGTTGACCTCCTATCCACAATTGACCCTACATAATCAGCATCAGTATAGGTTTCAAGTTTCACATTACCATTCCTTTTGAATAGAATCCCTCTTCCTAGAGTTCCTTTAAGGTACTGTAAAATTCTGTGGGTAGCTTGTAAATGGGTCTCCTTTGGGCTATGCATAAATTGGCTAATTAAACTCACTACATAACCTATATCTGGCCTGGTATGCGACAAATATATAAGTCTGCCCACTAATCGCTGGTACATATCTTTTTCAACAGCAACATCTGCATTTCTAAGCTTTAGGTTTGGTTCTAATGAGGTACTAGCAAGTTTGCAAGTTGCCTTGCCAGTTTCCTTGAGCAAATCAGTAATGTATTTTTGCTGGGATATCAATATCCCTTTCTTGGAGTGGGCAACTTCAATTCCCAAAAAATATTTTAGTTTTCCCAAAGTCTTGATCTCAAATTCCTTGCCTAAGCATTGACTCAACAATTGCTGCTCTTCTTTATTATCTCCAGTTAATATTATGTCATCCACATACACCAATAATATTGTTACTCCCCTTGACTTGGAATGTTTAAAGAACAAAGTATGGTCCCCTTGGCTTTGTTTGTAACCCAGACCTGTCATAACTTTAGTAAACCTGCCAAGCCATGTGACCCTTGGCTTTGTTTGTAACCCAAGTGACCCTTGTACAATCATCTATAAAGGTGACAAACCATCGAACACCAGACACATTTGGAACATTAGAAGGTCTCCATACATCAGTATGAAGAAGATAAAAAGAAAAATTGCTAATTTTATTACTTATTGGAAAAGATACACGCTTGTGCCTAGCAAGTTGACACACCTCACAATGAAGACTCTCAACATCTAACTTGGTAAACAGAGAGGGAAACATAATTTTGATCACTTCAAAAGAGAGATGTCCTAACCGACAATGATAAAGCATGATTTTTTCTCTATTGGTCATCAAGGATTCAGATATGAAGGAGTGAGAGATTCTGTTATTGCTAGACAGACTTGGATCTTCAAGATAATAAAGG